GACTAGGTAGTCAGCTAGCCATTCGTGAAGTAGGCCGCCAGGATTGTGTTCTAACACGAGGAAGGCCGTAGTTCTGGTCTCAATAACCTTGGCCAGCCGGACCATAAAGGGAGCGTTAATGGGCAGAATGGGTTCAGCAGCAGGAGTTGCAAAATCAGAATCTTCAAGGTGAGACCTGACGACAGGCGAAGCAGCTTTGGATAGACTCTTCGTGCGTGTGCGAGCATGTATGAATATATACATTATACAATAAATGGGTGTCGGCATGAAGAAAGGCATAAGATGGCACACAAGTAGTGGATTCGCCATATTGGTATAAATGTAATCCAAATATGGCAAATATGAAGGGAATAGTAATTGTGAAGAATTAGACTAGATAGATAAGGAGAGGTATAATCTATGCAAAAAACTTGATAAAGTGAGACTACATTGTACAAGCAAGCTTCCGAATGAAACTTCATCCAGAAACTTTTATTCAACTTTTGAAATATTGGGTATAAATAAAAACGCTGCGATAACTTGACAGCAACCACAGTACTATGGCGATTAAGGATGAGCTTGGTGGACCATTAAAGGATTATTATGCCGTTATACACATTTTGAGTAGCAAATGAATATCACATTGAGTCATCGATACAATATGATGGGTAAATAGGCCCATAAGAGATTTCTTAAGCATCAGAGAAAAATTAATTCACCGAAACTACTATAAATAATTCTTCCAGTTAATCTAAAGAAAGCGTTGAGGTTGACTTTCTGAAAAGCATACTTCATAGTATTAAAATAAAAAAGCCGGTAAGAAATACCTTAATGGCAAAATATTGCTTTGACTTTGTGTCAAATGCAATCTGGATGTGTGAACTACGTACACCAACAACGCGTAGATTAATCAAGTCGCTCGAAGACAAGAGATGGGCAACGGATCGAGAATCTGAGAAAACAAGGTTTTCTGGGGGAAGCTAAGGGGAAAGTGGAGCAAAAACGTAAGAAAGATGTATAAAGCATGAATGTAATGGGTAGACTGAAATATCAGGGCAAAAATGGAAATAGGAAGTATAGCTGAATCAGAAACAAATTAATAATCATAGTCGAGTGATGGGCCTTGCGGTGATAAACTGCAGGAACACCGCGGAAACAGGCACACAATAGCGGTAGTGATTAAAGGAAGTTAGTTTAGTTTAACTCGGTGGGTTGGTGCCTAAGTATATACTTAGCAGGCATCATATAGGAGAAAAAGTATATGAAGAAAAAGGAGGATATGATCTGTGAGCGTTACATTCTTTTTAGGGCTTAGGTTCGGAACTGATAATAACTGTATTACCAGCACAATCGGATTTCGGATAAAGCATTCCAATCCTGTCGAATTAAATTTCGAAAGCATATTTGCCCTTCAAACGTGTTCTACAGCAGAAGTGAGTCGGAGGAACCACATTTCGCTTCGAAGACTAGTGGCTAGTGTAAAGCCATGGAACAAGGGTGGTATGTTGCTTAATGACAGTGTACATACCAGAATGTTGTGACTTGAATACGCCCTAAAATAACTGAGACTTAGATCTACATTCAGAATATTCAGTATGTATGCCCCATAGACAAGTATAGGCCATATTTAGGACTTTAAGCCAAATCGCAAGTTTTTTCATTTGCCCTGAATAAGATACATAGCGACCTATTATTTTTGAATCTATCTGATGACTGAGAGTAGTTGCCTAAATCATTAGATATTGTTTTACTGTATAATATAGGGACTATTACACAGAACAGGTCCAATTTTCCTATTAGAAAAACAATTTCTCTTAAGATTTTAGTGAGCCATGTAAGACACTTAATTATGCAACTTTGTTTTATACAAGAATGTTACAAGTCTACTACGGGCAAAGCTTACGTAGATTTAAATAAGAAAGTTAGATAAGCGATCCACTAAATATATTCAAGGAAAAAGTGGATCGTGGAAATTCTGATTTTCTTAAAATAAAAAATATCTAAATTAACGAATGACCCAGAAGCGAAGGATATAAACTTTAATGACTCACCTTGCTAAAGCAATCAATCAAATTTCCGGACATAGCAGTAGAGTTCCGTTCAATGGTAGAGTCTGTACAAGTGCCTTTTAGCAAAAGCGTATCGCATTTGAGATGGACAGATTCAGCTCTTGACATGCAGATTTTCATTAAACTTCTAAGCTCAATAGGTCCATTGTGACTTATTGCATTAGCCTCCTCTTTTAGCAAAGCATTTACCGCGA